TTGAAAGTGGCTGGGAAAAATTGTGGGACGAGTTATCTTTCACAAGACCGCAGTCTGCTCTTTAAAATATCATGCGAAATCCCATTATCGCAGGCTTATTAACCTTTCTTTATAATACGTTCGGAGGTCCTCTAGACAATTGTACGGCGACGAAATCTACTGTGCAGGCAAAGGACGCCTGGTATAATTAACCATCGCGTTGAGGTTAGGATGTCCGACGCATTTTATATCGAAAGGAATCGTCTCAAGAGGCATTAAACCAGCGAACGCGACAAAAAGGACTTCCATCCACGTGCAATGCGAAAAAGAAAGTCATCCCTTTGGCCGTGTCCTGTAATCCCGTTTCTATTAATGCTTATTCCAAACAAAGCAAGTGCCCGTTGCATAAAAGTCTCGAGCGTTTATCTGTTTTGTTCGCGGGTCGCGTCGCGCCACTCGATGTTTACAGTCTGTCTAACAAAGCCGCAGCTTCAAAGCCGCTCATTACAACAAATATACCGCGGATCTTCATGAATTTGTGATAAACACAGGCGGAAAAGTTTCGCAGAATGCGTATCATACAATATAAACGCAGATTTTGCACGTTATACTCAAAATTAAATTTTTCTACAAACTTGTTTTCTCCTTGCAATAGAAATAAAATCGAAAATGCGAATTATTTCGAAATAAAAATTTCAACGAAAAATAGATCGGTATGAAATACTCGTTAAAACACTGAGAGTACTTATATACACACATTCACATGTTAATTATGACAATCTGTAGGAGCGATAGTTGCAACAAGATGATTAATAACATCTGAACGTTCATAATTTGAAGGAGCCAAAATATTTCCTGGAATTTGATTTTTGAAAAAAACTTCTTCGGAAGTAATGAATTTGGAACGTAAAACCAGTGAAGAAAAGTGAAGCAGGCAGCTGTTGGCAGCAGGGTGTGCTTAAAAATATTGTCGAAGAGAGAGAGAGAGAGAGGCAAGAGCTTAAGATAAGTTCGAGATTGACAATTCTATGGCATCGATCCACGATGTTGCATTCGAGATCTGCAGCATGCAAATCGCTCCCAATTACTGAGAGTGCACGAGCCCTGAGAGGGACAGGCTTTCATTTCGGTATCGTTTCCGGATCGCTGTCCGCGAAGATCAGTCGACGTTCATTACGATGCCGATCGCAACGTTAACAATGCGCTAATTAAAAATCAATCAAACGATCTCTCGAGACGCAGTTGTTTCATTCCACTCGTATTTTTAACGTCAACTTTTACCTTTACGTACGTGTTGTTTATGTTGAGACGCGAATTTGTTTCCTTGTTTTACCGCGATTTTCGATAGATGGCGTCATGTTCATTTTAAGGAGGTTTACTCCTTTTACTTTTACGTACGTGTTGCTTATGTTGAGATGCGAATTTATTTCCTTGTTTTACCGCGATTTTCCATAGATGGCGTCATGTTCATTTTAAGGAGGTTTACTCCTTTTACCTTTATCTATGTGTTGTTTATGTTAAAACGCGAATTTGTTTCCTTGTTTTACCGCAATTTTCGATAGATGGCGTCATGTTCATTTTAAG